TCCCGAATTCTAGAACTTAGGTCTGGCAACACTAGTCTCAAGGCGTTCGATGTTGCCATTAAGGTAAATTATTATAACTGGCTCTGATACGCACTAGCCGCGGGCGTAATGGAAATAACTGATTTTAATGCGAGATAAGGGAGCGGGCGGGAATGGAGGGTAGTTGGACAGGAATGAGTCGAATAAAGTGCGCGATTTTATCTGGGACTCTTTGTAGTTACGAATTGTTTTACTGCGGACATCTGTGGTGTTAGTGTTGGTATAAAGCACATCACTTTGGCTTGAGCACGGTTTGAATTTTAATTGCGGTAATTTCTTAACAAAAAATACTTTTTTGAAAATTATAAAAAGGTAACTTGAAAAAATCGAACTGTCTAAGGCGGGAATTGAACCCACGAAATTACTTTACGTGAGAACTGAAACAATCTTAAAAAAAAAGACGTATTTATTGTGCTGTGTGTAGTTAAACAAAGCATAAATTTTTTATATCTTTTATAAGTTGAGTGGTTTGTTACCTACTACCTACATAATACCTACCTACTTACCTACATAATATTGAAACAATAACATTTTAGCAAAAGTAAAAGTACATTTTTTCAAGATTAATTCTGAAAATCGAGTTTAGCAAAAAAAAGTAAATTGCTGTGGATTTCATTTTTTTTACTTAAACGTTAAATTATCCCTCTTTCCCTTCCTTCACCGTGCTAAACCACATCAAATCAGCAATGAAAATAATTCAATATTCCTACACAATTTATGCAGCGCCAAATCTCAGACTAAATATTCCATAAACGTTATTATGTACCTATTTAGAAGCCCCATTCAAACGAGCATGAAATTGGAGACAGAAACTAACTGATTTAGCTGCAGTTTCACACTTAGAGACTCAACTAGTTCCTAGTTCTAGTTAAGAACTAGTTCAAACTCACTAGAGAGGTCGCCACTATTGGAAGACTAGCGACGAACTTCGCAGTTTCGTATGCACTCATTATGCGTCTAACAAAATGCATAGAACTTTTCTTAAGTGTAACTTAACGCCAGGACAGGGTCCTCTTAAAACCTTTTAAGTTTTAAGAACTAAATTCAAATGAATATTCTTCCCAGTTTAATAATATTGTAAAATGAATATTTAAATACTCCTGAAAATAGGGTTAGAGAAGCTAAAAATTTCTTTCCTTTACAGCAATGTTTTATGATTATTCATTTTGTTAATTAAAGTGTTCCAGTTTGGCTCTACTTAAATGATTATGTTTAATTTCTAATTGCATTTTACTATTTTGACCTTATTTAAAGTTCAAAGGCCTGATTTCAACGAAAGGCAATAGTATAAGCGACAGACTACTACACGTGTAAATAAGACTTTGTTGTTTTGTCTGTTGCTCTTTTTTAAACACTAAAACTCTTTATTAATAAAAGTTACACCCTAGTTGAACTCCGGTTAAATTGTCGTTTACTATAGAAATGTCATTTTAATTCAGTGTTCATCCCGGGTGTAACTTTTAATTAATAAGAGGGTAAAGTTACTATGTATAAACAAGATTGATTTCGCTTCGGCAATTAATTCCCATCTCCGTCACAAAGGATCATTGTATGCATAATTCCATGGTGATCGATTGATAGTTCAGCCGTGAAAAGGGATATTTAAGTTAAATATAGATTTGGGAACTGTGTGGGCTGTGTTGTTGCCTATGTTATTATCAACACACATAATACATTCGGAAAGCAAATATTATGAAATGGTAATGGTGTTTTGAGGTTATTTAGCTTCCGTAATATCTTTGTAATTATTGGTTTGTGTACGTGGTTCTTGTTTACTACAACTATGAAAGAAATTAGTAGAGATTCAAACATTGCTTTTACGACTACAGCTGATAAATTATATTTTGTATTAATTTTTAAATAAGCAGCCTTAACCAAATGCCTTTTAGCCATTCTTGGTAGATTAATAAACTTTGAAATTATTAATCAATTGATGTGCAAAGTTTTGGCTACTTTGGTAAAATGCATATTATTATCAAAATAAGAACCTGTTATCAACTAAAGAATCTGTATGATATCTTTATACTATTATTATTATTATTAGACACTAGCTTTTGCCCGCGGCTTCACCCGCGTGAAATTTAGTTTGTCACAGATCGTCATAAATTAGTCTATATGTTATTCTGGGTTATAAACAATACTACTGTAAAGTTTCACCAAAATGTGTTCAGTAGTTTTTGCGTGAAAGAGTAACAAACATGTTAACATCCAGACATCCATGCAAACTTTTACATTTATAAATTATTAGGATAGTAGGATGTCTTAGCTTTTATTTAATTATTTTCACGTGCTTTTAAAATTGGTTTTCATGACAAAGTAACAAAATTAAGTTTACGAAGCCCTGTGTTTGCTTTATCTACATTAAAATGCTCTTTCCCCCATTCTTCATTGCTCGTCACATTCTTTTAAATATCCCATGGTTTAAAAACACCCGCAAATTCCCCTACATTCCAAAATCCCGTGGGATCAGGTTAGCAAAGCCTGCTTTTAAAGGATTTGCTCTATTATTTGGGCTACAATTTTGCAGCGAGTGCAGTGTGAATGGAAATTTCAATTTTTGAGGCCTTCGTTATTTTATTCTATTTATTTTCTATGATTAAGGTTTGCACTGTTTTTGTTTTGTTTTAATGGAATAAAAACTGATTGATTGTTTTGTTTTGTTAGAATTGCTGTGGATGGAATACATTTTTGTATTCAAGTTCACAGAGTAGGTACCATTTAAAATGTAGTTAAACCTAATGTAGCTCATCTAATCTTCAAACATCTGTTATTTTCTTCAAATTAATTTACGTAAACAGTTATATTTTCCCTCTAGAGTTGACCTTTATTAGTAGAATTTTAATCGGCGGTCAAGCTAAAAATCTTGTCAACACAGGGAATTACAGCGGTGGGAATGAGATTGGGAGTAGTTCTGTTTTACTTCCCGCTTTGGGTCTCTCTATTTATGTTTAAATACCATAATTATCGGCAGCGCAAGACCGGTCATTATGGAAAACCTTGGGGGAGGCCTTTGTCCAGCAGTAGACGTCATTTGGCTGAAACGAACGAACCACAGTTATCATCATCTTGTAGCTGGACACAGGCCTCTTTTAATACGTAGCTTAAACTTTCTTATGACTCAAAAGGAGGTAGGTAGAATGACTTTATACTATCTGTAGGACTTTATATGAATGCACGATTCGCGAAAACATTAAGGCTGGGTTGCACCATCATACTTTGACTTTAACAAACGTCAAAAATCTGTCAAACTCCATACAAAATACACCGGTTATCGTCATAGTCACGGTTAAAGGTAGGTGGTGCAACTCAGCCTAAAAAATGGAAAAGTAATCATCTCATTTTGTATTAACAAATCAGTCTAGGAAATTCAGAGAGAATTCTTAACTAATTCAAGGCAACCCTACAATTGTAATTGAGAAAGAAATAAAGCTCACATCACATGTTGCGTGTATTTTTAACCCACACTCTGCAGACGTGGGCAAAACTAACCCTACCCTCAAGGCCGCTACCGAGGTCGTGTCGACCTACATGTAAGTTTCTGAACGATTCCAATTGTGGCAATCTTTAGCGTTGACATTCGAATGAAGGACGGCCTCTAATTGAAAAACAAATGAAAGTTTTTTGAGGTTTGTAATATTACTAGTTCACATAAGTGCACTGACGCGGGGTTGACATTTCAATGGAAGGTCGATGGGTTAAAAAAATAAAATATGCAAGTCAAAGTACAACTCTCTGAAATTGAAGTACGAGTATTTTTGCGTTCAACTACAAACAATTAGAGGTATTTGCAATCTGTAAAGGACGTAAAATGAAAAACAATTTAATATCTAGTCACACATTTGTAAAACACTCTTTGATGTTATCATTTAAAATTGAACATAATATTTAGCTCTTAATTTTACTCAAACAGGGTGAAAAACTCATCTTTGGGGAATTAGGAACTATGTATCATGAGTCGTAGTTTTATACCTATGTACGATTGGGTATCAATGATTTAAATTTCACCCTGTATAAAATTCAATATCAAAAAAGTTTGGTTATTATGGTATTGCCGAACTTCATAAAGCTTTATATGGGGTGTTTTTATTGTTTAACCATTTACCTAAGTTTGTAGGTTTGCTAGAAAACTAGAATTTAATAAAATTAGAAAGCACCTGCGATCGCGGGCCAATAATATCGATTAGACCGTTTCGTTGGCGGCCATTGCTATTAATAATTCATAAATGATTCAAGCGCGTCGTTTTGTACTGCTCTAATTAGATTTGGACCGCAATTATGGTTTGATTTTGGTGAATATCAAGTTATATTTGTTTGTAACGATTGAATGCTATTAGGAAATGGAATATTGATGTTTCATTTGCAGATATTAATGAAGTAGGAATTATTAATACTTAGCTACGATTTCCCTTACCATTAGTTTACGTTAGGTGTGCTCGCTAGCGACTGCGTAAAAAAATGACATTACATGTATGACATATTGTGCAGCGCCCCTAGCGGCTACTTTCAAAAAATAAAATCTTCATAGACTTTTTTGACGTACTCGCTAGCGAGCACACCTAACGTAAACTCATGGTAAGCACACCGTGTACTAACCTTACTCTAGTAAAGTGAAGGCTTATAAAAGTTATTAGTTTTTAAAGTCATTTATCGTTGGTCATTTATCGATAATTTCATTTGCCTTCCATCAATTTAGTTAATTGAGTTTATTTTTGTGAGAATTCTAAACTAGCTTTTGTTTGCGGCTTCGCCCGCGCGAAATTTTATCTATCGCGCGCGTCCCTGTTTCAAAAACCGGGTAAAACTATCCTATGTCCTTTCCCGGGACTCAAACTATCTCTTTTCCTTTCATCAAAATCCGTTCGGTGGCTTAAACGTGACAGTCACATTGGTGACTCAAGTGCTTAGCGAAGTTACAAACATTTTTATGTACTAAACTAAAATAAAAATTTTATCCTCCACAGATCCTACCAAAATGGGAAGCAGTGAAGACTGGGACCATATCGTTCAAGTTCAGAACGAACGAACCGAACGGTCTCATACTCTTCAATATGGGCGCTAAACCACCAAGGGTAGGTTGCACGGTAAGGGGTGGAGCTTTTGGGGTTGATAGATCACCTTCCGAACTACCATGATCATCGCCATCAACTCCATCGTCATCCAGACCATCATCTATGGGGATTACATCAAATTTCAAGTCTGCTTCTATTTTTTTCTTAGTAGTAGGTAATGCTTTAAAATACTTTAGCCTTCCAATGACTCTTCTAGATCAATAAACATTGTTTGCAATTAGTCGTCCAATTTACTAAATTAATCGATACCTACGAAGTTCTGTTTCACTGGAAGTAGTAATAAAATATTTCGATCGCCTGAAGACGATACATTTATTAGAAAAGATTAACATTCACGAGTTCCATTAAAGTGATTACTGGCATTTGTGTTGCCTTTGGAGTTTTCTGAGAAAACTATATCGATTCTTAAATAAATCGTTGCGGAAATCGCATCGATATCCTTGAGTTGAAAGCAACAACTTGTTCAATTTCATAAAGCAAATTAAATTCACGCAGTATGGCATCAAGCAAATTATTATTAATACCGCGTCGTGATACAATGTAATCCCCATAAAATCTCAATGGATAAGCGAGACCACAGATTTAATTATTTAAAATGAATTTCGTAACAGCGACTTAATAAATTCCTTTTCCTCTTGGAATGAAACAACCGTTTAATAAAATTTCGGTTAACCCTGAGCGAAATTTAATTTTGGCCAACTTGATGTAGTATCCATTGAGCTGCATGGTAGGTCGAAGTAAATTACGAAGTATTTTTATCAGAACTGGAGACACGAATAGGAGAATTTGTGTACGGTACCTTATAAAGTTTCACCCACTTGGAGTCGTCGACTGTTTTATTGTTTGTCTTTTGGTGTGCACCTAGATGTCGAAGCACAGTGTATTGTGGCTGTCTGTCTATATCACAGATGTACTGTCTAAACCACTATGCACCTCATTTATGGAACGTTGATCAGCGCACTAATGGAATTAATCATGATTTGGGTCAATTAGTATTGTTATGGACGTATGTTTAACTGTTGTTACGAGTAAATATGATTATTTGACATCAACTTAACGAATTTGATCACTGTTTCATGATATGGGGGAATGATTTTGTCACTGTCAGACATTTTGCATGCACGTCTTTAGCTACACTATGCGTGGAATTACACCCTAAAACTGTCAGTGACAAATATTCGGATTTCCTTAGTATTGTATTGACTGTGACCCTATGGACTTTGCACTTGCCCTATAGAGTAGGCTAAGCAAACTAAAGATTTAATAATACCTACACAAATTCGCACCATTAAAATACACCAGCTATTTTTGATTTGATTCTACATTTACACTTATTACCTTTAGTTAATAGGTAGTAACCAATAATAGACATAGCTTTAATATTCACTTTAATTTTGGATACAGATGATAAAATAAATATTGATGAACATATTTGGAAATCTATCCTTAATTTTAAGAATAAGGTTAAAGATTTTACTGTAGCGATTTAAATCAATACTATCGGCACGTAATTGTTATTCCGTTTTATTTATTTCATTTGGTCGTATTGAGACTATAAGCAAGGCGTTTATTATTTAATTGCACGTTGTTGTTTACTTTATTTAAATGCCTCAAGTTATTTGTGTTAGAATCATCGTCAGGTCATTTAGTTCGCACTATTCTGGCTACATTTCTATACATTCTGGCTATTCTATTTGGGCTATCATCTGTATCCAATTGCAATCCCTATAAACAATATCTGGGCTTATTCGTAGACCCGATTCCCCGATTCGGAGTTTGGCATTTTCAATGGTCGTGCCACAGGCCATTTGCATGTCTAAATCTAACGGTTTGTATTCCGCCGGTTCGCGAATAGTTTGCATGCATTACGTTCAGTCTGACTAGTTTTTATTTTGCCGTTTTTGCCAGTCGCTATTGATTTCTGTGTTCGCTGCCGGAATATTTATTTTATTGCCTGAACTCGTTTAGTGTTCGGCAGAATACGATTGGGTTTAATGGAATTAAGATTACGAACGTCTTGGGAATGAATTTAATGTACATGTATGTACTTAGGAGCAGTAATATTCGAAATATGTGATAGTATACTCATTATTATGCCAAGTTAATACTCTTAGGGCCCTCGCCCATGGACTTTTTGTCTCTTGTCTCTTTTTGTCTCTGTGACTTTTTGTCTGACTTTTTGTCGCGCGTTTCGTCACTACTAAAGCGCGTTGTCGTATTTGCAACTACAGAAGTGATGCCAACGCGCTACTAACGCGCTACAGCTGCGCGACTGCATCGCTACAAAAAGTTGCCATGGACGAGGGCCCTTATTCGTTATTAAGTTACAGATTTAAATTGAAGAGAACAAACTTTTATTTAAAAGTTCAAGGTTTTAGTTGTCATATAATTTCCAAAATATTATTGTATAATGTGGGAGAGGTAACAAAAACAAAGGATTCTTCGAAAGGAGAGCGAAGTTTACTTTGTTAATACAATTCTCTGCTGTTGCTCAACGAACTGTTGCGTTGTTTTATTAATTAATGAAAATCGCACTGCTCTCTTGGTATTGCTGAGGTTTATTTTGCTTTAGTTGTATGCATGCACCAAGTTATTTTACTACTTTATAAAAGTTGCATGTACTTATTTACTTTAAACTATTGAAAACTTAACAGAATATTTTTATTATATTTAAATTAAGTACTGTATTGTGGATATAAATGTATAATTTTTCAGTTTTCTTGCTGATTCTACTCTGTAAATATGTGATGCAAAAACAATTATTACTGAAACGCTTTGATTAGGTTTTCAATTAATATTAATAGTTAAAAATGTAAAACAGTCAAATTGAAAACCTCCTCCGACTTTTTTGAAGTCGGTTGTAGATCCATTTGAACCAAAAAAAGCATCAAAATCAACATAACCCGTCAATGCCTACCTTTTGATTCCAGGCCGACCTCTTTGCTGTGGAGATGCTAAACGGTTACATCTACGTCCACGTGGACTTGGGATCCGGAGGAGTGAGGGTCAGGGCCTCCAGGAGGAGGGTAGACGACTCACACTGGCACGAGTTTCTGTTGAGGCGCAGCGGGAGAGACGGGAGAGTGACTGTCGATGGGGCTAATGCGGAATTCAAAACGCCTGGTGAGTTGGTTGACAAAATAAACATTTTGAGACTTGGGATCCGGAGGAGTGAGGGTCAGGGCCTCCAGGAGGAGGATAGACGACTCATACTGGCACGAATTTCTGTTGAGGCGCAGCGGGAGAGACGGGAGAGTGACCGTGAATGGGGCTAATGCGGAATTCAAAACTCCTGGTGAGTTGGTTGACAAAATAAACATTTTGAGACTTGGGATCCGGAGGAGTGAGGGTCAGGGCCTCCAGGAGGAGAGTGGACGACTCACACTGGCACGAGTTTCTGTTGAGGCGCAGTGGGAGAGACGGGAGAGTTACTGTCGATGGGGCTAATGCGGAATTCAAAACTCCTGGTGAGTTGGTTGACAAAATAAACATTTTGAGACTTGGGATCCGGAGGGGTGAGGGTCAGGGCCTCCAGGAGGAGAGTGGACGACTCACACTGGCACGAGTTTCTCGAGTTTTGGGAGAGTTACTGTTGATGGAGCTAATGCGGAATTCAAGACTCCTGGTAAGTTTTACACAAATACACTCGACATCAAATAAATCGCACCTTACGCGACAAGCACTTTCAAACGTATGCATCCCCACTCCCTACCAGTATTTGCACCATTTAAAAGCCTAGTTCTAGACTTCATTTCATCAAAGGAAAGTTTTTTACATCAAAAATGTGTCTTAAGAAGGATCCAGAGTCACTTCTTCAAAAAATAGGTAGTTACGTTTGAGCCAACTTTTATGGCTATAAAACTGTTAAGTTGGGATTAATCGCTATCCATCTATTTAAAAGGACACGTGAGATTATTATTTGGTTTTATGACCATAAAAATTGCTCTAATTGATCCCAGAGGTGAGCCCAAAGTGAGGTCTTTTTTCAAGTCACATTTGTATGGTATATTATGTTAATCGTTTATTAAGAAATTAAATGTGTTTTTCTTTAAGGATATTTATTGGGCTTTCAAATAACACCACTATTTTTGGTTAAACTTCTATTTTATAAACACTGCCAAACGATTTTTTTTCTATTCAGCCCGAATTGAGCTTGCAGAGAATGCCCTGTGGCATTAAGTTCACCTTATGTACCAATTGGGTATTTGACACCATTTCCCAATAATTGTAAAGCACAACTTTTTTAAAAAGACACTTCTTTCTTGTCTTAACAACTTAATAATAATTAATTTTTAATTACCTGTAAATTACGATTTTTGGTTGCATTATAATTGAAAAAAGTATTTTAATTGAGTTGATAAAATTGTGACGTCACATGCTAGTATTGCCGTACAAAATCTATGGGAGAGTGTTGTTTTGACAGTTTTTAAAAGTACGTCAATTGATTGGTGGTGTCAAATACCCTATTTGTGTAGCACCAAGATCTATAGTCTACACTGACGAATTTTGTCATAATTTATTGCCACTAATCTAAAATGCCCATTTCCAATTTCCAGGGGAGTCAAACCAGCTAGAACTGGACGGGCCTCTCTACGTCGGAGGTCTCGGCTCGGAGTACTCGGCCTCCAGGACTCCTGCGGCACTCTGGACGGCCGCTCTGAGGCAGGGCTTCGTGGGCTGCATACGAGACCTGGTGCTGAACGGGAAGCCGCAAGACTTGACGGCTTATGCGAGGCAGCAGGATTCTGGTGAGTGTGAATATTTTTATTATTTGATTTGAATACAATGCCAGCTGTAACAGTGTGTTCAACCCCGCTGTTAACGCCATAACTCGAAGTTGTGGACGTTTAAGTTTGTAGAGACTTGTACAACTATGTATCTATATATGGTTCTATCTCATTGAAATTCACGATCTGCTTACTTTAGAACATTAATTTACTCAGGTACCTTTCCAACTATGTATTGCACGGTAGTACACCTCCACCGCGAACGCGATTTACGTGAGAGCGAAACGATTTCATGTATTGAAAACGACGCGTTGTCTTGTGCTACCGGCATTGGTCTCTAAAGGCTTAAATAAATTAACCAAGGAATACCTATCATAAATCATGGTATCATGTATTTGTGAAAAATGACACTTACCAACAAATCGATAAAGTTACATTATACCAGCAACTGTAAATCAAAAACCTAAAGAGCATTATTCTAAAAGCTTTGTCTAAATATTTCCAGCGTCAGTCCGTCCAGCGTGCCACGTGCTGATGAAGCAGTGCGTTAGCTCTCCGTGCCAACATGGCGGCGTGTGTTCCGAAGGCTGGAACCGACCGCTGTGCGACTGCTCCGCTACCAACTACGGAGGACCCACTTGTGGGCGAGGTGGGTGGAATATACTGTTTGTGGTTATACTCGTACTTATCAAATAATTGAGTTGTACGAGTTGCTCTTTATCAAAGTGAATAAGCTTGATAGTTTGTAGATAAAATTCTGTTAAAACTGGAGCAGATGGTATAAAATGGTACCTTGAAAATATATTCGGTTTAGAAAGTCTTGGACTTGGGGTATTCTAGAAAATGGAGATATTGCCATTGATACCGAACTAAGGCTGGGTTGCTTGCTTGCAACATCTTACTTTAACTTTGACAAACGTCGAAAACTGTCAAATTCCATACAAAAAACACCAGTTATCGTTATAGTTACGGTCAAAGTTAGGTGGTGCAACTCAGCCTAAGAAAGTCAAACAAATGAGATATCCATGTATTCTATGAAAAAAGGGACATAGAAGAATATCTTTTTGACATTAACCATTGTGATACAGTGCGCCTACATGCTACATGTTTTAATTGTAATCATATTATTATTCCTTTCAGAAACCGCAACAATCCACCTGAACGGCAGCCAGCACCTAACAGCGTCTTTAGGCCCTGAACACGTCACGCAGACCGAAGAGCTGATGCTGCGCTTCAGGACCACCCGAGCTGGTCTGCTCCTGAGGACAGCTTCGGAACACTCCGCCGATAGGATCGAGCTGGCTGTGGCTGCGGGGAGGGTCAGAGCCAGTGTGCGGTTAGGGGATCGGGAAAAGGTGAGGATTATCACCAAAATAATGTCTATGAAATGATACAAGTGTTAATTGGACCCAAACCAATTCGTCTGACCAATCTAAGAGGCCAAATCCTCCCATAGCCTCTGAAAAATTAAAAAGCTTTGTAACCTCTGCTGTAGAAACTAAATAGAAGAAAGAAAGAAAGTATTTATTTGATGCGAGTATTAAAAGCGTTACAAATAAATAACAACTTAAACACTAAAAACAGAGTACACGCACCAAAATGGCATCTGCTCAGTATAAGCCGTGACGGCAGAGAGCAAGTCACGACCACTGGTATTCTGCGGATGCCAGTTTAGCAGAAGGGCGCAGCCCGCCCAGAAACATCAATCAACATTATTTACGTGAAACTTGAACATATTTTTATACAGTTTAAACTCTGTATCTAGGCTCTATAAAATGATCTGATCTGATGATGGTGATAATTTTAAATAAACAACTTAAAAAAATCGAACTGCATAATCCGGGAATCGAACACACGTTTTTCGAGTGGTTTTTTTTAAATTCAGTTTGAGAAGCAGCTCTTATCGCTAAGAAATTTTAATGATGATAATAATGTTATTTCAAAAGTAAAAATTCACCAGATAAAGTTGCGATGACTTCATTATCAAGACTCTTTTCTGAAAAATACATAGTAAAGGGAGTAAGTTGAAATTATGTAAGTACTTAGCTTAGCTATAGAAGAATGTGGGTGTTGAGCAAAGAGAATAGCGTAAGTCCAATATGCGCATTGACCGATTTTATGCTTGTTGTAAATGAATTTTCTATTGAGTTTTTCCTAATTCCTTTTAGAATCTCCTAGCTGGCTCCAACGTGGCGGACGACAACTGGCATACAGTTAGGTTTTCCCGTCGGGCCTCCAACTTGAAACTTCAGGTGGACGGGGCGCAGCCAGTCCGCGGTATGTTATGTACGTATGCACGGGACAGCACCCGCACAGTTTTATTTTTACCCTAAAGTAGTGGATTATAAGGTTGGTTTTGGTTTAGCTCCACAATTTTTTGAGGTTTTGAGGAGTTTAGGATTTTGATGATTTATGAATTCGGAGCTAAATCAAATGTAGAATAAGTCCCAGAAAGAATTCACTTTGATTGTACAAGCTTTTTTGTCAAAATTCTGGAAAATAAAGTGGATTCCTATCAAAACCCTTTCAACAATGATGTTGAGAAGTTTTTAGCTTGGTGTTAGATGTCCTCTTAGTGTAGTAGTATAGTCGCTTAGTTTACGTTCGATTTAATAGCTGGCACTTTGGCTCCACCTTTTAGTTGAATGCCCTTATTTCTTACTTCGTTTATTGGTTTCTTTCTCCTGTAGTCTCCTGTGTGTATGTGCTAATGAACTTTATGGTGCTTATTTGTGAAATTGCCGAAATTTTTAAGCGTAAATATTTAATTGATTTAATTTTTCGGAACAAAAAGGCAATTTCACAGATAGCCCCCTAACTATTTAACTACTAACTTATTCTGTTCATAATCAACTTACGAACAGCTTGAGTCAATGCAGGTAACAATGTTGGATTACTGAGTGTAGTTGGTTGAAATAGGCGTAGGTGTAAAAGCAATAGTCAATCTCACTGCTAAGGGAGACTTTCGAACACAACTTCTTCTTGTTAGAAAGCTAGGCTGTATGAGCCTTTACACTAGCATCTGTCAAGCTTGAGTCTACCAATGTAATGAAAGCGCTATAACTGTTTCTTGAAATGAGAATTTCTGTGTAAATAACTTAACGAATGGCTGCTAAAACAATCTATGAATGAGTTTACTTTGCTAATTTATTCTTTTTGTTTAAAGTCAATGTTGTGGATAGGTGTGATGCGTCTTAATTTACCCGATACTTAATGAAATGGATTTGTTTTTCAGCTGAAACGATTTTAGGGAAAGCATCGACTTTAGAGATATCCACATTGCATTTAGGAGGCTTATTTCATCCGGAGGAAGAAATTCAGATGACCTCCACATTGCCCAACTTCGTGGGATATCTGCAAAAGTTTGTTTTCAACGGAATAAAATACATTGATATGGCAAAGACCCTTGGAATTGGCAGTGGAGATGAGAACAACAATATCTATGACACGTCCAACATAATTTTCACTGGAACATTCATGAAGCCAGACTCTTTGAACGTTTATAAATCTGTGACCTTCAAATCGAAACATACGTATGTAGGCCTTCCTTTACTGAAGGCTTATGGGAACACGTATTTAGACTTCTACTTCCGAACCACTGAAATGGATGGACTATTGTTCTACAATGGAGGGAAAAAGCAAGATTTTATAGCCATAGAGCTGGTCAACGGTCACATTCACTGTGTTTTTAACCTTGGGGATGGCGTTGTAACTATGAAAGATAAACTGAAGAATTTCTTGAACGACAACAGATGGCACACGGTATCTGTAAGGAGACCCACACCAAAAATACACACGTTACAAGTTGATGATGACTTGGAAATGCACACTACAAGTAAGTTTTATGTTATTGGGTAACGTTTTTGTCCAAGCAGTGAAGTGTGGCTAAAATTTTAATATCTTTTTTCAGGTTCAAATTTAATGCTTGAGTTGGATAGCGTTCTGTTTGTTGGTGGAGTGCCTAAGGATATGTATTCATCACTGCCAGTTGGAGTTCTGTCCAGACAAGGTTTTGAAGGGTGCATGTCCAGTTTAGATCTACCAGGAGAGTCTCCTTCTTTGATGGACGATGCTGTTGTGCCGAGTTCTTCATTAGGTTCGGGGTGTGAAGGTATAAAAATCAACCTTATGTCAATGGAAATGAGTAGAATTTCAAGTAGCAGATTTTTGATTTAAAAGTTGTTTTAGGTCCCACAAAATGTACACACAATGCTTGTGCTAACAAAGGAGTCTGCGTTCAGCAGTGGAATACATACGTCTGTGACTGTGATCTGACGTCATTTACTGGACCTACCTGTTATGATGGTAAGCTTATCACAAAATCCTTTGAACTATGACACATACAAAATATCTTCAAGTACTAAGTAATAGGTACTTCTTTGATTTCAGAATCAATTGCCTATGAGTTCGGCCCAGGTCGAGGTATCATTACATACTCGTTCCCGTCATCTTCTGTAGCTGATACGGAAACTGATAAGGTGGCTCTTGGTTTCGTCACCAGCAAGGCTGATGCTGTGCTTCTGAGGATCGAGTCGTCAAACACTCAGGATTACATGCAAATGGAGATCGTGAGTGTACTCGTGTTTCGTTTACCTTGATGATTGTGTGATTAAATTCAATGATTTCGATGAACAGTACTCGTATATCATAAGAACTTTTGTTTTTGATTGTATTCAAGTTCTTCATTTAGTTACTTAGGGTCACCATGGAACCATTTATCTTACGTTTTTGTTGTATAAGTATTTCAAACATTTCAGGAGTTCTTTTCTCTGAATACTTTTCATCTTAGAGATATTTACTATGTTCTCAGATCCGAGGAAACCTTTTCATGGTATACAACGTGGGTGGTGGTGATCACCCGCTTGGTGACGAGGCGGCCAGGGTTGACGATGGAGCGTATCACGTCGCTCGCTTCACGAGGAACGGCAGCCGATCTGCTTTGCAGCTGGATAACTACGCTGTGAATATTCGACATCCACAAGGTTGGTTTATCTTATTCGTTTAAAAACAGTTACTAGCCATAGTTAATTGACACGTCAGTTCAGGATCTGTAGGCCTAAGATGCGCGCCGTGATAGGCGGTTATCACGCCATTTTATCGATTTTGCCCATACAAATTGACGTCGATAAAAGTTATCACGGCGCGCATCTTTGGCCTACAGGTGTTTCATAAATCTTTAGGAAAGGCTTGTGTCCAGCAATGGATGTCTTTTAAACTAGATATGAATTTTGCGTATGTTTTTGCTTTATACTTGCTCTGAGTCACATAATATGTTTCTGGTTAACAAACTCCCTTAAGGATCATAGTTAATCCTGACCAGCATTTTAAGGTTTTCGTAGGCGGAACATAGTAATAACCGATTAAGAAATAAATAACTTGACCGTTTTCTGTTTCAGGTGGCCAGCAGTCTACAATCTTCAACAGCATGTCTACCATCACTGTTGGCGGAGGCGCAGGCGGGTCACGAACCTTCAGCGGCGTCATAGCTGGGCTGGTGGTGGATGGAGTCAGGGTGTTAGAATTGGCTGCCGCAGGGGACCCTTCGGTGTCTGTGAGAGGAGACGCGAGGAGAGCACACACGCCGCTTGACAGAGACATCAATAGGATGCAACAGGTGGTTATGCTGATTCTTCATAGTAGTCTGCTGGTCAGGGATAGTGGCGTCATAGCTGGGCTGGTGGTGGATGGTGGGAGGGTCTTAGAACTGGCGGCAGCGGGGGACCCCTCGGTGTCTGTGAGAGGAGATGCGAGGAGAGCGCACACGCCGTTGGACAGAGACATCAATAGGATGCAACAGGTGATTATGCTGATTCTTAATAGTAGTCTGCTGGTCAGAGATAGTGGCGTCATAGCTGGGCTGGTGGTGGATGGAGTCAGGGTGTTAAAACTGGCTGCTGCAGGAGATCCATCGGTGTCGGTGCGAGGAAACGCGAGAAGAGCATACACGCCGCTTGACAGAGACATCAATAGGATGCAACAGGTGATTATGCTGATTCTTCATAGTAGTCTGCTGGTCAGAGATAGTGGCGTCATAGCTGGGCTGGTGGTGGATGGAGTCAGGGTGTTAGAATTGGCTGCCGCAGGGGACCCTTCGGTGTCTGTGAGAGGAGACGCGAGAAGAGCACATGCGCCGCTTGACAGAGACATCAATAGGATGCAACAGGTGACTTTATTGGTGATCCCTTAAAGTTGAAAAAGTTGATCATCATCTTGGCGACATTAAGGCTGGAAGCCTTACTGAGGTGTATAAAATCATTGACGATATTTATTTATTCATTTGAACACCAACAAGATTACATTGAGGCTTCACAAAAGTAACTATAAAAATGACACTTGTTAAATGCAAACTTAATTATAAGTGAAAACATCATGCGTTAGAGACTAAAGCAACAGCAATTAGGGGTTAAAAACTAAAAATATTTAATATGGTGTAAAGAAGTCCCTATGCTTGTTCAAATCGGTGAGATTTGTCCAAGCATGTGGACTTGTTGACTTACGTAAACCAAGGAAAAAAATATCAACATTAACATCATTGGACCTAGATTTGGTTACGTCTGTGACTGTGTATTTTGATGGATTTCTCCAATAGCAGCAGAAAGCTTGAATGAAATAAAGATCAAAGGTTCGTTTGGATTCTATTTTTTTTCAAAATAGTAGTAACCATTTTTGTCAGGGCTCCATAACCCGATACGAACGATAGAACGATTTTTGTTAAAATTGAAGCAAGAATCACTCAATCCACATGCACATCTGTGGATAGTGGGGCTGGAGTGTTAAAACTAAATTAAGAATACGTAGTACGGAAATCTAAGAAATACATAATATGCTGTTAAATACAGAAGATTCTGACAGAACAGAATATCTGGTCTTCTATAGGACTTGAATTTCGTGATCATTTCTAATCTTAATGCTTTGACTAGGTCTAACTAAATAATATTTCGTTCCAGACGCCCCCATCAGGCTACGGTGGCCCTGGTGTTATGGACGAACTAGTCTACTCCGGGGCAGGGTCGGGGTGCCGCGACGACGACGAGGACGCGTGCGTGCTGCCCGACGCCGGCTCCGGGGACGACCTCATCACGCCGGTGTACGTGCCGTCCACCAGGCGGCCGCCGGCCAGGGTCTATAAGGCCAAGGTGAGTGGCTGAGTCACGAGGCTATGGGGGTTATTTGCCAATAACTCAACATATATTTTACTCAGAATTCTATTCCGATTATTTATCGTTAAGATTATTGTTAGGCAGTTCGAGGCAGGAAATGAAGGTAGGAAGAACACGGTGGAAGGAAGAAATTATATTTAACAACAGGAATAGAAAGTGATTGATTAGGATACAATTATAGCAATAAAATTACTCAAATCTTGAGAGCAAAGCGATCGCGGAAGAAGTAACACGACGACATATTATTATTTCAAAATCTCTTCACCGGCGATGAGTGAGCGGAGAACGGTGACCGGCGTTGAAGCGAGACGGCAGCATACGTCTTCACGGGTGTGCGAGTGACGCAGACGTATTGTGACGGCTGCAGCACGCATGCGCCAACCACTCGTTCACGTTCAGTCAAGTCGGGGCTGGCCCAATCTTATAGGTGGAAGCGGATCGCTCCAAAATCTAAGGCGGTGGTCCAAGTTAGGATTATGGCGGATAGCCGCCACAAGGCGAACGCCACTACACAGGCGCCCCCATCAGGCTACGGTGGCCCTGGTGTTATGGACGAACTAGTCTACTCCGGGGCAGGGTCGGGGTGCCGCGACGACGACGAGGACGCGTGCGTGCTGCCCGACGCCGGCTCCGGGGACGACCTCATCACGCCGGTGTACGTGCCGTCCACCAGGCGGCCGCCGGCCAGGGTCTACAAGGCCAAGGTAAGTGGCTGAGTCACGAGGCTAACGCCACTACACAGATGCCCCCATCAAGCTACGGTGGCCCTGTTTTTTTTTTTGACGGGACGCGCGCTGGTAGCTTGAGGAGCTTTTCCAGCTTCACTGGGCAGAGTGGCGAGTACAGAAGGTACTCTAGCCGTTTGGCGATCGTCGGTGCGCGTGCCGACGAGGCCGAGTGTGGCATAAGGCGCTCGGTCAGCGGCGAACCCAACTAGAGGGTTGCTCACTGCGGTGTTGGACCAAAGTCCAGCCTACGGCGGGCTCACTTTAGTGGGCCCGATCGAGGGGACTACGGACGCGGCCTGAGGGCGCCACGGTAGGCTCGGACCTCGGCTCAGGCCGTAGCCTGAGACGGAGCCGTGGACGAACGTCCAATTTTGGGACAATACTCACGGCTCCGTTTCAGTGACCCCGGGGGACACCGTCGGGTTTTAGTGGCTAGGCCCCTCCCTTCTGGTGAAAAGAGTCCCACATAACATATGATAGCCCAGTGACCGTCCCCATCTACCAGTGGGTATGCGTAAAGCATTTCCAGATGGAAAAAAGTAGCTGGAAAAATTACTGTGATCTTGTCATTGACTTTATTATTTTACTGTTACAACTCTTAATTTTATGATTGTTGATAGCTATTTTAGAAAAATGCCGCAATTATTTGATTTCAAATGAATTTATTGTCCTGAAGACGTCGTAGAATTTTAGTAATGATAGGGCGTGTAAAAGCATTGCAAAGCCTTTTTGCACAAAATAAATTAATTTTATGACTTAATCTTCGTCAACATTTTTGTTTAAATGTTTATTAAAGGTCTACAAATATATTTTATGTTACAGGGTGATACAAGCGGTAAACTGATGAAGCCTTGTGATGACGAAGATTGTGCGGAGGGTTCTGGGGCGAGCGTAGACGAAGTGACAGAACCTGAACATCCAGCTACCACGTGAGTCGCAACGCAACTACGTTTGATCTCTATAACTTTTCAGTTGCCCTTCAGGCAGGTGGGAATTAATAAAAAAAATATTTCAAAAGGCTTCTTATAGTTATTTCCTGATGACTAAAATTAAGGCATTGGAACTTGATCAGTAACCTGTTCTGTTAAAATTAACTATCTAGCTACCTTAGATACTGCATTTTCAAGTGCAACAGCTAGCATGATAATCAGTATGTCACAAGTGATAAAAGTAGCAGTTAGAAGATTATTTTGAATAAGAATAAGAACAAGATGTTCAGCAGTTGATAAAATATCATCATCATATTCACATTGTTACTTTGAGCTCTCTCTGTAGATGTCTCAACTAGAATTGTCTTTAAAGTTCAGTAAAATTCCAATATTCCAGATCCGGAGCCAGCAGTACCCACAGCATGACGTCACCCACGGCTTCAATATCCTCAACCGAACACGTGGACAAATCTCTCGAGGGGTCCACTGACGGGTCCACCGATTCCGGTCCTAGCACGAAGGCCGATATCCAAACCACATTGCCTGATCATGACAATATGCATGCGGGTACTGTGGATACTGCCACCACGCCTGAGAGGAAGACCACGCCTACTGATGGTGAGGATTGTTCTTGAGTCGAATATTTATCTTAGTTCATTGCATTCTAAAGCCCGGTCTCTGAGCACGTAGAATTTTGTCCAATGACCCCAAGCTATCCATCTTCATTATTCTAGCTTGGAGTCAATGAACAAAATTCTACGTGCTCAACGACCAGACTAATCTAGTGGGTGGAATTGTAATAACAGTCAATTTATGACGTTGAAAAGGTTTACTTCTAATGTCAAAGGCATTTCATTTGTTTCGTCTATGGAAAGGAGAAAACTTGGTAGTGTTAAAGTGAATTTTGCTTATGAATGTGACAAGCAAAGTGAATGCAACGTGCACTCTCTTAGGTACTCTCATTTTAATGTTTTCTAAAAGACTGAAAAAATCTAAATAAAACGATGCACTGATTGATGCTGGATTATGATCTGGAACCTGACAACTCCTAAATATAATGCTGGTGTTCTAATGTTACGCACTGTTTTATTTTATTTATTTTTTGTTTATTCTTTCCCTTTTCCTTTTTTTTTGTTTATATAGACTGTTTCACTACACTTAGGTATAGCTGAACTGTACCGCGCTGTGCCAGTCACTTTAATTTTGCAAACTGCACTGTTTGGGCCACCAAGATACAGGCTATGCCTAGTTTGGGGCCCACTGTTATTGATAATACATCTTGCTTTCTTTTTTCTTACTGTTATTGTTAACACATCTTGCCTTTATTATTTTGTAATGCAAAATGTAACCTGTGCCTATTTAAATAAATACTTTTTTCATTTTTTTCAATCCTTAATTCAATATTCCAGAACACACCCACTCCAGCGGTCATTACACCCCCACAATGATCGGCAAACACACCCCTGACGAGACCACGCACACAACTGAAGAAGACAACCACATACCAGACTACGAGGACCGGCGAGGGAACGAGATAGAAACACGGACGCCGCCTTACGAGATAGGGATAGGAATGGGAGAGCAAGAGAGGCTCCCAGGCAGAGGGCATCAGGATTACAATGGATATGATAAGACCACGAAGTGGTACCAGCCGAAGTCGACGGACAATAGGGTCGTACCGCCCGAGTCGGAGTTCTTCGCGACTATTGTCGGTGAGTTGTTTTGATTGAAGATGCTTAATATTCAGATACTGAATTATTTAAAGATACCCAAATTAATATTCTAAACATACATAGAAAAAAAAATACCAATCGAATTGAGAACCTCCTCCTTTTGTTGAAGTCTGTTAAAAATAGATCTTTCTTCACTGAATGTGCCACCATTAGGGCTCTTTCCCACAGAGACATCATGTTTTTGCAGGATCCTGTTTGGTAGGATATGTGTTGTAGTATTAACATTCCCATTAACATCCCTTGAAAAACCGATCTGAGGGCTTAGTGTGAACGTACATCAAACGTCCTCACCAGTGAGCGCGTTAAAAAATATATGAACATTTTAGTTCTTGAAAGTTTCCGCTAGGGGCCCTCTGTTCGAATTTGAAACACACACTTCTATGTTCATACGACTGTCTATTTTTATGGAATCCTGCATTACTGGACCCGTAAAACTGAATTGTCGTGGGGAAGGGCCTTTCACATTCTCATTTTCTGAAACAGAGGTACGGCAAAGAACAAAAACTAAATCGAAATCTTTTTCTTCCAGGCATAGTAGCATCAGTGCTGATAGCAATAATACTGATAGTGATCATCGTGCTCAAGTACATAGTGTTCAAGCTGGACCCCTCGTACAAGGTCACCGAGGACAAAAGCTACCAGCAGGGCGCCAGCGCCGCGCTGCTTGGGAATCAGGTAACAACGACAATATGAGTTAATATTTTTTCATCCTTCACGAGGAAGCTTTTAGCCTGCATCTGCATTATCACCTGATGGAAAGTGATAATGGCCGAAGGTGAAAGCGATCTTCACCCGGAATCTTCAATCATAGAAGAACTGGCTATCTTACCTGTAACTATCGGAACTTTATTGATCATCGTGCTCAAGTACATAGTGTTCAAGCTGGACCCCTCGTACAAGGTCACCGAGGACAAGAGCTACCAGCAGGGCAAGAGAACCAGGTAACAACGAATTGGTGTATGATCTTCAAGTGATTGTAATTCAAAGAGTTCATGTCATTGCTTGTTGAAGGCTTAAGACCAAATCGGGACCAGTTTAAAGCCATTGACAGTGTATGTCTTAAACATAAATGAAACGGTTTTTTTTCGGCTATGCTTTCTGTGGCAGAAGAGTCAAGTCAATTTAAGTCCTTTCCTATCGAGTCAATATATTTTGCGTCATATCTTTCCATTTTAACTTTCATCAAACTGGTAAGTTTGGCATACCTCCAACTGCGAAACCTCATCTTATTTAACTGGATTTTTAAAATACCTACTGGTTTTCTCACAACCTAATGGTACATATGAGTACATCCAATCATCTCCTTCTATGTCTTTTTGTCATTTTGAGGCTGGTCTTCCTCGTTATGGACGCCACCCGCGAAAATACTCTGTATTGGGTTATCATGTCGATGACCTGAATTTGTTTTCAATCCCTTGATTTAGATCTTATTTATTTTTACTTCCCAGGCTCACTCAAGTTACCAAAGCGGCGCATCGAGCGCGCCCACCGGCGGCGCCGTCCGCAACCTTCAACCGCTCCCGCTCAACCGGAACGGGGCGCCGCCGCTGCCCGTGCCCACGCAGCCCGTCAAGCGCGACGGCATCAAGGAGTGGTACGTGTAAGCCGACAGGTGCTGTGACGTGATCCGGGACGTCATAGAACGTGTGCTGTGACGCGATCCGGGACGTCATAGGACGTGTGCTGTGACGCGATCCGGGACGTCATAGGACGTGTGCTGTGACGCGAACCGGGACGTCATAGGACGTGTGCTGTGACGCGATCCGGGACGTCATAGGACGTGTGCTGTGACGCGATCCGGGACTTCATAGGACGTGTGCTGTGACGCGATCCGGGACGTCATAGGACGTGTGCTGTGACGCGATCCGGGACGGCATTGACGTGACGTTGAAACATCGCTGTAACAGTGATGAGTGTGGCACTTGTAAATCGACGTGATGTGATCGAACGTGNGTCATTTACTGGACCTACCTGTTATGATGGTAAGCTTATCACAAAATCCTTTGAATTATAACACACAATTCACAAAATATCTTCAAGTTCTAAGTTATACTTCTTTGATTTCAGAATCAATTGCTTACGAGTTTGGACCAGGTCGAGGTATCATTACATACTCGTTCCCATCATCTTCTGTAGCTGATACGGAAACAGATAAGGTGGCTCTTGGTTTTGTCACCAGCAAGGCTGATGCTGTTCTTCTGAGGATCGAGTCGTCAAACACCCAGGATTACATGCAAATGGAGATCGTGAGTGTACTCGTGTTTCGTTTACCTTGATGATTGTGTGATTAAATGCAATGCTTTCGATGAACAATACTCGTATATCATAACAACTTTTGCTTTTGATTGTATTCAAGATCTTCATTTAGTTACTTAGGGTTACCATGGAACCATTTATCTTACGTTATTGTTGTCATGAAATGTTTGAAACGCTCATATTTCAAACATTTCAGGAGTTCTTTTCTCTGGATATTTTTAATCTTAGAGATATTTTCCATGTTCTCAGATCCGAGGAAACCTTTTCATGGTATACAACGTGGGTGGTGGTGACCACCCGCTTGGTGATGAAGCGGCCAGGGTTGACGATGGAGCGTATCACGTCGCTCGCTTCACGAGGAACGGCAGCCGATCTGCTTTGCAGCTGGATAACTACGCCGTCAATATTCGACATCCACAAGGTTGGTTTATCTTATTCGTTTTAGAATAGTTACAAGCCATAGTTGGTTGACACGTCAGTTCAGAATAAATTGTTTTGGAAATATTAAGGGCAAGCCTTTGTCCAGCTGTGGACGTCTTTTAAACTGGAGATGAATTCTGCGTTATTTTTTGCTTTTTTCTTGTTCTGAGTCACGTGTTTTTCTATTTAACAAACTCCATGTCCTGACCAGGATTTTAAGGTTTTCGTAGGTGGAACATAGTAATAACCGATTAAGAAATTAATATCTCGACCGTTTCTGTTCCAGGTGGCCAGCAGTCTACAATCTTCAACAGCATGTCTACCATCACAGTAGGCGGAGGGGCAGGCGGCTCGCGCACTTTCAGCGGCGTTATAGCTGGGCTGGTGGTGGATGGAGTCAGGGTGTTAGAATTGGCTGCTGCAGGGGACCCTTCGGTGTCTGTGAGAGGAGATGCGAGGAGAGCGCATACGCCGCTGGACAGAGACATCAATAGAATGCAACAGGTGATTATGACGTAGACATTGGTGATGGATAGTGTTAGGGTGCTGGAACTATAAGTATCGATGGGGGGAGAGCGCCCACGCCGCTTGACAGAGACGTCAATAGGATACAACAGGTGATGATATTATCTGACTGATCTGACTGGTGATTTTCAATTCGTCTCTAAATACGACACTGGTAACTGGCTGTTAGCCTGACACCTTGGATGGTGAGAGGATGACGGTCCTCCTCCTCCTGGCTGACGTGGATATCTTTAATTTGTGATCTGAGAATATTTATTTTGATGGACAACACGGCATGGCTTTTACTGCTAGCAAAACTTGCTTGAAATTTGAAATACAAATAAAAGATCCTGTTGGAGTTAGTGTTACGAATTAAGTGACCAAAAGCTCCTCAATAATGGCCGAGTGAGTGAGTGAGTCCGTTTCCAAATAAACAAATAAAAAGTCTATAAAAGGATATTTTCTGTTGGCTAAGCTGGTGACAGAAAATGATCTGTATGCAGAAGTTTTGTATGCAACAATACACTGACGAGGTCTAACAATTTTTTTTCCGTTCCAGACGCCCCCATCAGGCTACGGCGGCCCCGGTGTGATGGACGAGCTGGTGTACTCCGGGGCAGGGTCGGGGTGCCGCGACGACGACGAGGACGCGTGCGTGCTGCCCGACGCCGGCTCCGGGGACGACCTCATCACGCCGGTGTACGTGCCGTCCACCAGGCGGCCGCCGGCCAGGGTCTATAAGGCCAAGGTGAGTGGCTGAGTGGCCAGGGATAACTTATGGCTCGGAAACGTGGCCTCTCACTAAAGGCCTTATACAGAGGCTCAAAGTTGCACAGCGTGCTATGGAGAGGGCTATGCTTGGTGTTTCTTTGCGAGATCCAATCAGAAATGAGGAGATCCGTAAACGAACTAAAGTCGCTGACATAGCCCGACGGATTAGCAAGCTGAAGTGGCAGTGGGCAGGGCACATAGTACGCATAACTGACGGCCGATGGGGCAGCAAGGTTCTGGAATGGAGGCCGCGTACCGGAAACGCAGCGTGGGACGTCCACCCACAAGGTGGACCGACGACATCATAAAGGTAGCAGGAAAGCGCTGGACGCAGGCCGTTACCAACCGGGTAACATGGAAAGCATTAGGGGAGGCCTATGTTCAGCAGTGGACGTCCTGTGGCTGAGATGATGATGATGATGATGAAGTGACTGAGCCACGAGGCCAACGCCACTACACATTCTCACAGACTGCGGACCTTTGTTGTGCTAGCAGAGTTTACACCTGGGCAAACACATCCTAAGCCCACAAGATGTAAAACATATCGCCCCCCAAAAGATACTGCACTACCTAATTAACTGAATGCACGAACTGTTAGGAAAAAAGCCGCGATCACATACATAGATCTGTACCAGTCGCAGTGATACTAGGATACGATAGGTACGAGTGATACTTTATTGAACTAGAATATCTGCTTAAAACAAATAGAAAAGTGACTGAGGGAAAAACTGTAATCTTGACAAATTTTGCACACCAGGTTATTTATTGTTTGTTTCCAAATTACATCTGTTTAGATTATAAAACATCCATAAAAGAAGCATCTGCATAATAACTAGAATAATAAAGAAGTTAATGAAGAGATTAACAAGCGATGACAATAATTTTCAAAAATACTCTTAAAAATGTCTTGAAATGAGTTCTGTTTTCGCTACAGGGTGATGCAAGCGGTAAACTGATGAAGCCTTGTGATGATGAAGATTGTGCGGAGGGTTCTGGGGCGAGCGTGGACGAAGTGACAGAACCTGAACATCCAGCTACCACGTAAGTCGCAAATCAACTACGTTTTGATCTCTACCACTTTTCAGTTGCCCTTCAGGCAGGTGGGAATTCCATGATTCGCAATATATTGCCTGATAATATTTCAAAAGGCTCCTAGTTATGTCCTGCTGACTAAAATTAAGGCATTGGAACTTAATCAGTAGCCTGTTCTCTTGAAATTATTAACTATCTAGCTACCTTAGATAGTGCGTTTTCAAGTGCGACAGGTGCTTCAAGAGTTAGGCTGATAATGAGTATGTGACAAGTGATAAAAGTGGCAGTTAGAACATTGTTGTTGTTGTTGTGAACAAAGTTGTTGAACCATAGGTTGTCTGGAAGAGATCGCTTCATAGCGATAAGACCGACTAGTTGTACCTTGTGTGTTCCTTTTCTTTCTGTTCTTATCTTTGGTGTGCAATAAAGTGTATTTATTATTATTATGTTCTTTATTAACTTTGGTTCTTAATTTTAAATATTTTTTTACAATGTAAATTATCAAAAAAAAAAAAAATTATTATTATTGTTTTGGATAAGAATAAGAACAAGATGTTCAGCAGTTGATAAAATATCATCATCATATTCACATTGTTACTTTGAGCTCTCTCTGTAGATGTCTCAACTAGAATTGTCTCTAAAGTTCAGTAAAATTCCAATATTCTAGATCCGGAGCCAGCAGTACCCACAGCATGACGTCACCAACAGCTTCAATATCCTCAACCGAACACGTGGACAAATCTCTCGAGGGCTCCACTGACGGGTCCACCGATTCCGGTCCCAGTACGAAGGCAGATATCCAGACCACATTGCCTGATCATGACAATATGCATGCGGGTACTGTGGATACCGCTACCACGCCTGAGAGGAAGACCACGCCTACTGATGGTGAGGATTGTTCTCGAGTCAAATATTTATCTTAGTTCATTGCATTCTAAAGCCCGGTCTCTGAGCACGTAGAATTTCGTCCAATGACCCCAAGCTATCCATCTTCATCATTCTAGCTTGGACTCAATGGACAAAATTCTACGTGCTCAACGACCAGACTAATCTAGTGGGTGGAATTGTAATAACAGTCAATTTATGATGTTGAAAAGATTCGCTTCTAATGGCAGAGGTATATCATGTGTTTCGTCTATGGAAAGGTGAAAACTTAGTAGACTTAATTTGACTTAAGAATGTGACAAGCAAAGAGAATGCACGTTGCATTGCATGTCTACCCTCATGCCTGCCCTCATTTTAATGTTTTTAAAAGACTGAAAAAATCGATGCAATAATTGACACTGAAATATACTCTGAAAGTTCTTTATTGCTATTATAACTAACTTTTCAATAATCCTTAATGCAACATTTCAGAACACACCCACTCCAGCGGTCATTACACACCCACAATGATCGGCAAACACACCCCTGACGAGACCACGCACACAACTGAAGAAGACAATCACATACCAGACTACGAGGACCGGCGAGGGAACGAGATAGAAACACGGACGCCGCCCTACGAGATAGGGATAGGAATGGGAGAGCAAGAGAGGCTCCCAGGCAGAGGCCATCAGGATTATAATGGATATGATAAGACCACGAAGTGGTACCAGCCGAAGTCGACGGACAATAGGGTCGTCCCGCCCGAGTCGGAGTTCTTCGCGACTATTGTCGGTGAGTTGTTTTGATTGAAGATGCTTAATGTTCAGATACTGAATTATTTAATGAGGAGATCCGTAAACGAACTAAAGTCGCTGACATAGCCCGACGGATTAGCAAGCTCAAGTGGCAGTGGGCAGGGCACATAGTACGCAGAACTGACGGCCGATAGGGCAGCAAGGTTCTGGAATGGAGGCCGCGTACCGGAAAAAGCCGCGTGCGACGTCCACCTACAAGGTGGACCGACGACATCGTAGGGGTAGCGGGGAAGCGCTGGACGCAGGCCGCTGCCAATCGATCAACATGGAAAGCATTGGGGGAGGCCTATGTTCGGCAGTGGACGTCCTGTGGCTGAGATGATGATGAATTATTTAAAGATACGCAATTAATGTTCTTAAAATAGATATTTCTATCACTGAATGTGCCACCATTAGGGCTCTTTCCCACGGAGACATCATGTTTTAGCAGGATCCCATTTAGTAGGATACGCGTTGTAATATTACGTAACATTCCCATTAACATCCCGTTAGCAGTGCCCCGCAAAAAACTGATCTGAGCTTAGTGTGTAATAGTGTACTTACATCAAACGTCCTCACTAGTGAGCGCGTTAAAAAAATATATGAAAATGTTAGTTTTTGATAATTTCCGCTAGGGCCGCTGTACAATCCGTCATACATTTAATGTATTTTTTTAGGCGCTCACTTCACTAGTGACGACGTTTGATCTAAACTCACACAAAGCCCTCTGTTCGAATTTGGAACACACACTTCTATGTTCACACGACTGTGTATTTTTATGGAATCCTGCTTTACTGGACCCGTAAAACCGGATTGTCGTGGGGAAGGGCCTTTCACTTACTCGTTGTCTAAAACATAGAGGTAAAGAACAAAAAACTAAATTGAAATCATTTTCTTCCAGGCATAGTAGCATCAGTGCTGATAGCAATAATACTGATAGTGATCATCGTGCTCAAGTACATAGTGTTCAAGCTGGACCCCTCGTACAAGGTCACCGAGGACAAGAGCTACCAGCAGGGCGCCAGCGCCGCGCTGCTGGGGAACCAGGTAACAACGACAATATGAGTTTAATATATTTTTTCATCCACAACGAGGAAGCTTTTAGTCTGCATCTGCATTATCACCTGATGGAAAGTGATAATGGCCGAAGGTGAAAGCGATCTTCACTCGGAATCTTCAACCATAGAAGAACTGGTTATCTTACCTCTAACTATCAGAACTTTATTGATCATCATGCTCAAGTACATAATGTTCAAGCTGGACCCCTCGTACAAGGTCACCGAGGACAAGAGCTACCAGCAGGGCGCCAGCGCCGCGCTGCTGGGGAACCAGGTAACAACGAATTGGTGTATCATCTTCATATGATTGTAATCCATAACAACAATGTTAACAGCATTGTTGTGTTCCGGCAGTTAGAGGTAAGGTAGCCAGTTCCTCCGTGGTTGAGGAGTCCGGGTGAAGCTCGCTTCCACCTTCGGCCTGATCATCACTTACCATCAGGTGAGATACAGGCCAAGAGCTTCCTCGTTGTGGATAAAAAAAAATTCAAACAATTTGAACGATTGCTTGTTGGAAAGTATTTTAATAAGACCAAATCGGGACCAGTGAGTCAGTGAAGTAGCATGCTTTCTTTGTATCTAGCTAGACTATATTAAATTTTCGAGAAAACGGATTTCTGTTTTCGTCAATGCCTTCTTTGGCAGAATTGTCAGGTCAATTGAAGGCCTTTTTTGTTTACTATGTCTTTCCCGACCGCTTTCTTCTTCTTTTTCTGTGCCTTTTCCCATTTCATTTGGGGCCGGCCTTCCTCGTTCTAAGGCGCCTCTTGAACGATATAGGATTAAGAACTTCGTTCGTTCGTTTCAGCCGAAAGACGTCCACTGCTGCACAAAGGCCTCTCCAAAGGATTTCCACAAAGACCAGTCCTGCGCCGCTCGTATCCAGGCACCTTCCGCGACCTTCACCAGATCGTCAGTCCACCTATAGAGAGGCCTGCCCACGCTACGTCTTCCGGCTCGTGGTCTTTAAGATTAAGAACTTAAACTATTTTTACTTCTCAGGCTCACTCAAGTTACCAAAGCGGCGCATCGAGCGCGCCCACCGGCGGCGCCGTCCGCAACCTTCAACCGCTCCCGCTAAACAGAAACGGGGCGCCGCCGCTGCCGGTGCCCACGCAGCCCGTCAAGCGCGACGGCATCAAGGAGTGGTACGTGTAAGTCGACAGGTGCTGACGTCATAGGACGTGTGCTGTGACGCGATCCGGAACTTCATAGGACGTGTGCTGTGACGCGATCCGGGACGTCATAGGACGTGTGCTGTGACGCGATCCGGGACGTCATAGGACGTGTGCTGTGANGTTGCGCTATTTTTTTATTGCGCTGATTCTGCTGCATACTGATGTCTGGAGCCTTTAATGGATGGTATTGTTTGTTTACACATATAATGTCACTATTTTGTTGCAATTTCTTACAAAACTTGCGCGCAAAAAGCAAATCTAGTAGGTATGAAAATCATCAAACTTCTAATGCTCGTAACTCGGTTCAGACTGAGTTTAGAGGTATACATGTCATAGTAAGTTTGGTTTATTACACTATTTTGTAATCAAAAAACAAGGTTTGGTCGATGGCCGCGCGAAAAAAAAAAGACGCCAATTTCCGGCATTGTCTTTTATGCAGCGACATTTGTCATCCATATTGTAAATTTCACGCTCATATTGTTTATGAACTTCGCTGCTCTTAAACCTTCCCCATTCTTCTTAACTCCTTGATCCTACATAGAATTTGCATGCAGTTTCAATTGTTTGTAAGTAAATAAACTGCTTCTATATTTTTACAACTAGAATGTATTGTACATCCACCGTCCCGTTTTCCTCTTTCCGATTAAAAATTAAATTAGCTTTAAATTAAGACGAAAAAATAACATATTTATATAGATTGTTATGAAGCACAGGTTTTAGGTATTTGAAGTTGCATTTATTGTAAATAGTTAACAATTATGATATTGTAATTTAAGCGGTATGGTACGGTGTACTTCACACTCGTTTTACGGCACAAAATGTTATTATCAAGTATCAACAATTTGTTTATCTGTCAATTTTAGAGGTAAAGTTGATGTGGTTGGCGAGTTTTACCGTGTAATGATTTAGTTTATGTCAAAATTATTGTACTTTCTATTCTATCCAACTGTACACTGTGTTATGGAAGTTATTTGTGTCTGCAATAATTACTTACATATCCAAATAGTTTATCGACAAGAAATTTTAATACAGTTTAGTTTTTTTGTTCTTCAACTCAACATGTTTTAATTAATATTATTCAGCGTTATGTAAATAGAAAATAACGAACATATTACTTATATTGATCGGTTCATAGAGATATAGAACAATGTTGTGTGTAAGTAATACGTAAAAACTTATTGTTGAAAATTACCTACACAAAATTTTTCTTAAATTGATTTAGCTGTCATAGCAATTTTGTTGTTAGAAATATTATTAAACATTGTAGATATTGCCTTGTATAAATATGTTTGTATGTTTGTCTTTGTAACACAGTGGCAGATGTACATTTAGCTCAACATGGATATGAATACTTTAATTTGTTACACCATTTACAAAAAGTTGTTAAAACCTCGACTACGGTCGGACCAAAAAAAAAAAAACCGACTCCAAAAAACCTACACTAAAACGTAGAAAAATAATTACTAATTACCTACTTATTTATTAGGACTAATTATTAATATTTATGTAGGTATACCATGATTGATACTTTTGGAGTCGGTGCAGGCAAACTTTACATGTTTCATAATCTAGGCACCGACTCCAAAAGTATCAATCATGGTATACCTACATAAATATTAATAATTAGTCCTAATAAATAAGTAGGTAATTAGTAATTATTTTTCTACGTTTTAGTGTAGGTTTTTTGGAGTCGGTTTTTTTTTTTTTATAAAATTTTACTTATAGTTGGCCGATAGTTGGGCTCGATTCTAATTTGTATGAAGAATCGGCCGATGCCAAATCGGTGTAATGTGCGCACTTTCACACATGCCCGTACTGATTAACTGCCCGACCCAACTATCGGCCAACTAAAAATCGGTGGCCTGCGCCTAGTCTTAAAATAAATACAGTGTGACAAGACAAAGAAATTAGCCGCAAGAACCGGAAAACTGTGGATTAAATAAATAATAGGCTTTAATCTTTTCAACGCCAATGACGGATACATTCGTACATCAGGTTGACCGCCAACGACGGATTAATCCGCCTTAAAAATGATGTAATAGGCTAATTGAGTATTAGTAAACTGAATAATAATGAATTACAATGATTAAATTGATATCATACCTAATTATCAAGCGTGGCGTCAGAGTGGTGGCTTTTGTAATTGACGTGGCGGTGAAAAGGTTAAGGTAGAGCACTTGTAGGCAAAAGTATTGCAGGGTGGATTGGACTTTTCAATAATATTAGTAGCAGTGTTGGCTAGATGAAAAAAGGGAGATCGTGTTTAGCGGCGCTCCTTGAGAGAGGCTTATAATATCTGGTAGTGCAGTGCCATAGGTAGTTTTGATACTGAACATGAAATTGTGCCATGCACATAAAGCATTTAAAATTGTTATATGAATGTTGGTGAGGTAAAGAGCTTCAGATAACAGCATTGTCATACAAATGGAGTAAGGTCCTGCACACCGCGCACGTCATAATACAGCTTATTATATATTTTTCTTGTCAGGAGATAGGTAGGTATTCTAGTAGACGTACAGCTTTTGGATGTTGCTCCAACCAAGTACCTACTGAATTTATGATTCTTTATGCAGAATTCAATTTGCAAACGTAATGGGATGCCTTCAAGTATTAACATTAATAATGATACTTTCTTACATGAAGGCACGCAGTAATGACATTCGCTAGACTTTTAGGTAAGAAATCAGTGAATATGAAAATTCAAATCACTTGAACAATCCTTCAAGGGCGGTTATTATTTTAAGTGGATTATGAACTTTGATAGCCACTATTTTGTTTTGAAATGTCAAATCTAATTAAATATCATAGGTTAAGACGAAAGGAGTGAATAACAGTTTACAAGGAATTGATTTTTATGTACCACATGAAAAAACACGAGTCTCCACTAATAAAGCACAGTCAAAACTACAAAGTTTAGAAAGTTAAAATATTGACTACATTATAGGCTTATTTTGTACGAATCCGTTATGAAAGTATTTGAAGGTAAGCAAAAAATATATTATTATCAACGTATTACGACAAAATAATATGCAAATCATGGACCTATAAAAAAAGTCGGACGGATTCTCATCAACAAAATACTGTGACATTAGGATACACCAGCTTGCCTGTACGTACAGGCCGGCACTCACACATTCACACCCTGATACACCACTTCGAGTGCAAACTTCACACAGTTGACACGTTTANAACAGTGATGAGTGTGGCACTTGTAAATCGACGTGATGTGATCGAACGTGATGGCATCAGTGACAGCAACGTGTAAAGTGAGCGTGGTCAAATCTGAATCCACTAAAGGACTTTCGAATTTGTAAGAGTGAGACATGAACTTATTGAGTGTTGTAATTTGCGATGAGCTAGCCAAGGATGCGCGCCATGATGTAATCTTATCGAGGCATTTTAACAATTTTAAACGTACATTAGTCGACGATAATGTTTTATCGTGGCGAGCATCCTAGGCTTCTGGTCAGTGTGGGGAATATATACCAAATCCTCCGCCTCTGGAAAGAGTTCTGTTTGATGCAGAGAAACTGATATGCAAAATAAATGATCAGATGATGATGATGAGAGTATGTAAACGGATATGTTTTCATCGTTGTATGAACTTTGATGTAATTTCTGCGTTACATAATTAAAACTGAGCAAATAGCGATGTGATCATATTTAGCAAAATCAGCTCATCTAGAATGAAAGAAGCTCTTTTAAACGAATAAGATTCAGACTTGATCACGACAGTGATGAGTGTGGCACTTGTAAATCGACGTGATGTGATCGAACGTGATGGCATCAGTGACAGCAACGTGTAAAGTGACGTGACGCTATAACATCGTGTGCGTGCGGCGTGATCAAATCTGAATCTACTAAAGGACTTTCGAATTTGTAAGAGTGAAAATGAACTTATTGACAATTTCTGAGTGTTGTAATTTGAGATGACCTAGCCTAGGATGCGCGCCCCGATATAATCTTATCGAGGCATCAATTATCAATTTTAAACGTACATTAGTCGACGATAATGTTTTATCGTGGCGAGCATTCTAGGCTTCTGGTCAGTGTGGGGAATATAGACCAAATCCTCCATCCGCCTCTGGAAAGAGATCTGTTTGATGCAGAGGAACTGATATGCAGAACAAATGACCTGATGATGATGATGAGTGGTTCTGAAAACGGATATGTTTTCATCGTTGTATGAACTTTGATGTAATTTCTGCGTTACATAAAAACTTATAAACTGAGCAAATAACGATGAGATCATATTTAGCAAATCTAGCTCATCTAGAATGAAAGAAACCTTTTTAAACGAATAAGATTCAGACTTGATCACGCCAAACAGAAATGACGTTCAAGTGGAAAATGGGACAAAAGTTGAGTAGCAACGCGCCGGTCGCTCCATCCGCCATATCACGTGCTAGCACAAGTGGGCGCAGGACATATCAGTAGTGAGGTGACATCCAGCCCCGTAGACGCTTAACATTTAACCGACCTCGCAGAACATCCAACACCACCACACCGACAACCGCAACTCATAATCATAAGTCGCTTAATGATAAACATAATGTAAGTAACCAAATACTGACTGATTCGCAAGTGTTTAGTGTTGTAAATATTAATTAATGTAATGTTTTAGATCACTTGTGCGGTCAGATGTGCAATTTTAATCCGTAATGCGAAACTATCTCTATCTGGAATTGCATTTAAACAACTTGTATTATATCGTTACCTTTGTGTTTCGTTATGTTAGTATATCAATAATTTTAAACTGTACATTGCTATCGTAAAGTAATTACGCGAATAAATTTTTCTATCTGCATTGCCTTTAATAGTTTAAATTTAAGACTATCGATAGTCAAGTTTTAGGTGTTTTACAAATATCAAAATTGAACGAGAATCTTTAAAATCGAATCACTTTTTCTAATTATATACAAGTTATAGTCACGTCTTGAAATCATCAAGAAAAACATCTCGAGTTATACCGTTTCAATTCTATCATAGTTATAAGTAGGAAAAGCGATTTTTTGTTGCTGAAATGAAAAGGTATACCAAGTTTTGTAGAACGAAATCTATACGAGTGTTCTTCAATTTTGATCTTTGGACTTGTTATTGAAATATCGCAATAAATAAAATAAAAATAATGCTAAATTGGGGCTGCCATCACGAAAATGAAGCATATCGTTCAATTAAAGACTACCGTACTTTTACGATTTCAATAATCTTTCCTATATTTATTAGATCTTATACACTATTTTTATTGGTAGGTGGGACGCGGGCTGTAGCGGATTAGGAGATGATATCATAATTATGAGACTTGAGATTCGCTTGAAGGTAGATTGAAGCGTGTATATTACCGTAGAAAAGCGTAACAACCAGAGCTTGTAGATTTGGTATGGGAAAATAGAATTTCAATTTGGTTTGCAACTTTCTGGGGATATCCCTGCTCAATACTCTGTTCCAATTTTGTAAGAAAAAAGTCAAACGTCAAACCAAATATCATAATACTTGAGTGATTGTTAAGTCCCAATAACCAAAGAAATCTGGAAGCAACGAAAGCATTTGATAAACTCAAATTCAGTGACAAAATGTTGTTTGTTATCAATCTAAACTCTCCCTTACTTACACTGATGAGTAACATTCCTTAGTATTATTATATTATCAACATATTATTTTGCAAAAAATATTTAAACGTGTTCACGACAAACTTTTCGAGGTGTACATCAAGGTACAACACTTGGTCCATTATTATTCGTGTAAATGGCAATGCCAGATTTTGTATGGAAGGTGGCGTCTTTTTTTTTTCGCGCGGCCATCGACCAAACTTTGTTTTTTGATTACAAAATAGTGTAATAAACCAAACTTACTATGGCATGTATACCTCTAAACTCAGTCTGAACTGAGTTACGAGCATTAGAAGTTTGATGATTTTCATACTAGA